CCAGCCTTCATCCCACGAGGATTGTCCCAGCCTTCATCCCACGAGGAAGAGAGGGATGTGGCCGAGCTGGGCTCCGGGGAAGCGCGGAGAGCGCTCCGAGGGTGATCCCTAATGAACAAAAACCTCATCAAGCATTCAGATGCAATTAAGCCATTTAACTCTCACTCCCCCCTCCCCGTGCCGCCCGCTCCCGCTCCATCCGCAGGGAGCAGGAGCCGGGATGACCGGCTGCCCCTCCATCCTTAGGGAATGATGCTCCCACAGGTCCCTGTTGCTGCACAGAGCGCTCCGGTGGGGATTTGAGGGGAAAAGCCCAGAAATTGGCCGTGTTATTCCTGCTGGGATTTGGGCGGTGAGAAATTAATGAGTTTCCACCCCGGGGCCTCCAGAGAATTAATTGGGAGGGAACTTCGTTAACATCGAGGAGCAAATTAAAAAAAAAGAAAAAAGGAGGAGATTTTTAATCAGGCTTTGCCTTTTTGGGTTTGTTTCTCCCCAAAAGCCACTTGTTATTCTCAGCATTCCCCCCTCAAGTGCTGGGAGCTCAACCACGGTATCAGACAGCGGAGATTCCCCGTGGGACACAGATCCCTGTGCCCCGACGCCATCCCGAGCTCCGGGGGAGGATGGAATTTTAGCAAAGTCGGGAAAATCCACCCCCAAGCCACGACCCCGCGGGAGGAAGGACCCTGCCCTGGGAGCCGAGACCCCGCAGCACCGGGAATTGCTGATCCCTGAAATCCCCCTCTCCGGAGCGCGGCCGGAGAGGGAAATTTCTCCCAGCTAAAAAACAGCTTAAAGGGGACCTCAGCTGGTTAAATCCAGCGGCGACCGCAGCGGCAGCGCTGCCGGGAAGCAGAGGTGGGATGTGGGGAGCCCCGGAGCGGGGTCCCGGTCGCTGCTCCGCCGGGAGCTGGAAGGAGCAGCGCAGGGAGGTTGGAGCTGCCCGAAAATTCCCGGCAGCGTCGGTTTGGATGAGGCTGAGCACGTGTCCGGGGCGGCTGCGGGAGGCAGGGGGCGTTCAGTGAAGGACTTGGTTGGAGCAGCAGGAGCCCCATTCCAGGATTCTGGGCGTTCTTGTGGCAGTGCCAAAACACGAGCGGCACATCTGGAGCGGGCCCAGCCGTGCCTCAGTCTCCCCGTCCCCCTGGAGCATCCCTGAGGTCCGATGAGCTCCTGGGAGGTGCCGACTGTCCCCCTTTTCTCATTCCCTCATTCCCTCAGGGCTCTGGGGACGGTGTCCTTCCTGCCCCCAGTCCCTTCCCTCCCACCTCCCACCTCCGAAGGGGCCTTTGCAGCCTCCCCGTGCCACTGTCCCACTTCCAGAGGTGCCACCCAGGCCCGGGGGACACTGTGACCCCCAGTGTCCCAGCGGGTTGGGGTCTGCTGGGACATCCCCACTCGGGAAAGGCGGACATTAGGATTTGGGAGGGGGGATGTGCCAGGCCCTGGGAGCATCCCTTCCCATGTACTGGGGCACAGGTGTGTGTCACAGGGACACAGACACCGTGGGGACGTGGCCCAGTGGGGACCTGCCCTGGTGCCTCAGCCCAACTGGGATTAATCACTGTCAGACTGAGAAATGAGGTGAAAAATGGGATCAAGGCTGGGGGGCAGTGAGGGGCAACTGGAAAAGGGGACAAGGACAGAGGGCTTTGCTCTCAGTCCCACTTCCTGCCCCTTCCATGGCTCATTTTTCCCGTGGTGTGAGAGCAGCAGGGCCGGCTGTGGGGTCCCTGCCACCCCACAGCCCCCCGGGGACCTCGGGGTGACAGTGCCCCAGGGTGGTATGTGCAGGGACTTTGTGGTGGTGACAGCCCGGGGTGCCAAGTGTGGGGACACTGGGGTGACAACTGTCCAGGCAGGGGGTGCCACATGCAGGGACCTGAGGGTGGTGACAGCCTGGGGTGGTGACATTCCCCAGGAACAGGGTGCCATGTGTTGGGACCTCAGGGTGGCGGCTGTCTGGGTGTGGGGTGCCATGTGCAGGTGATGGCACCTGGGGATGGTGACAGCCCCAGGAACCTGTCGGGGCTCTGGGATGGTGACTGCCCCTGGAGCAGGGTGCCATGTGCAGGGACCTCAGGGTGACAACTGCCCGGGCATGTGGGGACCCCGGGGTGACACCTGTGGGGACACGGGGTGCCACAGGGACCCCCAGCACCCCCCGAGCCTCCACCCGGGGCACCAGCATCTCCCACTCCCCCTCCGGGGAGGGTTGCAGGGTGGGCTGCGGCCCGGGACGCTCCCGGCTGGCCGTGCCCCCCTCACTGCCGCACTGCCCCCCCCTCACCGCCCCCCCTCCGGGGGAGGCCCCACCTCCCCCCGCCCCCAGCCCCATTTCCCGGGCGGGACCGTTCAAAACCCGCCCGGCGCCGCCGCTCCCCGGATTCCGCCGCCGCTTCCCGGGGCCGGGGCCGAGGATGCTCCTGCTGCCGGCGGCGCGGGGGGGGCGGCGGGGGCGCGGCGGGGGCTGAACCGCGGCGGCTGCGAACCCCGGCCTGCCCGGGACACTTGGCGGGGAGGACGGAGAGGAGGAGGAGGAGGGAGGAGGAAGACGAAGAGGCCGCCTTCATCCTCGGCCCCGCCATGCCGGGCCCCACCGGGGAGCGTGGCCCGGTGGCAGCGGCCCCCCGGGGGCTGTGAGCGGCCCGGGGCCGGCAGAGGCTCCCGGGCGGGCGGAGGTGGGGGGGGGGGCCCGGGCGGAGGGGGGGCCCCGAGCGGCATGGCCAGCCCCGTCCCCCCCGCCGCCGCCACCGCTTCCACCGGGATTTAACCGGGGTTTGGATGCTTTCACCTCCCGTCTCCACTTCGGGAGGGCATGTGCGCGGGGGCAGCGGGCCGCCCCCAGCGGAGCCCCCCCGCGCCCTGACCGCACGGTGAGGGGCTCCGCCGCCAGCCCCGTCCCGCCGCCGGCCCCCGAGGACGGGGAGCGGCCCCCCCTGGCCGGTGGGTACCGGGCGGGGGGCGGCGGGTGCCGGCAACTTGTGTTCAGCGCCCGGCGGTACCGACCGGGGGGACCCCCCGCCGCTCTACCCGAGGAGATTTGGGTTTAAACTTTGGGTTTTGGGGAGCCCCGAAGATGCCTTTCCACCCGGTGACGGCGGCGTTGATGTACCGGGGGATCTACACCGTCCCCAACATCCTCGCCGAGCAGCGCCCCGTGGAGATCCCCGAGGATGAGCTGGAGGGTGAGCGGGTTTGGGGGGCTGCGGGAGGGCTGGGGAGGGCTGGGGGGGGGATCGAGGATGGGGCTGCAAGGGCTGGGGGGTCGGGGGGGACGAGGGAGGCATCCCATGGGAATGTGGGGTGAGGGGGACTGGGGGAACTGGGAAGTCCATCCCGCGGGATGCGGCTGCGGAGGAGTCGGGGAGCGCGTCCCCCGGCGCCGTGGGGAGGCTGAGGGCGAGCGGGATGCGGATGGATGGATGGATGAGGAGCAGGACGAGGAGGAGGAGGAGGAGGGGAGGAAGGAAAGCTGGAAGGGGAGGCGTGCGGGGGTCCCGGGCCCCTGGTTGTGCCAATATGACACAGCAGGGACCGGCGGTGGTAGCGGGGGGCCGGACCCCCCCTCCCCGGCGTGGCGGGGTGACCCCCCTCCCCGCTGTCATAATATGACAGTGGCTGGTGGCGCGGGGGGCCCGAGGGGTGGCTGTCACCCGTGTCACCCTCCCGGGTCACGGCAGCCCCACGCAGCCCCGGTGTCAGCGGGCTCCGGCCGGGAGGAGCGGCCGGCGGGGCTCTGCCCACCCGTGCCATGAGCGGGGCCGGGCTCAGCTCGCCGCCACCAGAATGGCTTTTTCCATCCCAAAAGTTTGCCGGGGTGGCAGGACGGGCAATGGCGGCCCCCGGCTTTGGAGTGTCCCCGGGAAGCCCGCGGGAGAAGGGGCTGCAGCACCCCCGGCCCCATCGCTGCCCCCAGACCCAGCACCACGGGGGAAACTGAGGCACGGGGGGTGACCCCACACGTGTCCCCAGCACGCCTGGGGAGAGCACCCCTGGGCCCAGCACCCGGCCTGGAGCCCCCGGGGATCCCTGGAGGGAAACTGAGGCAGGAGCCACGGGACTCGGGATGAGGGGAGCCCCAAAATCCATCTGGGACCAGCACGCCCGTGTGTGTGTGTGTGTGTGTGTGTGTCACTGTGTGTGTGTGTGTGTGTGTGTCACTGTGTGTGTGTGTGTGTGTGTATGTGTGTCACTGTGTATGTGTGTGTGTGTGTGTGTGTGTGTGTGTGTGAGACTGTGTGTGTGTCACTGTGTGTGTGTCACTGTGTGTGTGTGTGTGTGTGCAGCTCTGCAGGGGGAGGGTGCACTGGTGTGCCCATTACAGCCTCACTGCAGGGGTTCCGTGTGTGGGTGTGCGTGTGTGAGTGTGTATGTGTGTGTGTCACTGTGTGTGTGTGTGTGTGTGTGTGTGTGTGTGTGTGTGTGTGTGTGTCTGTGTGTGTGTGTGTGTGTGTGTGTGTGTGTGTGTGTGTGTGTGTGTGTGTGTGTCTCTGTGTGTGTGTGTGTGTGTGTGTGTGTGTGTGTGTGTGAGACTGTGTGTGTGTCACTGTGTGTGTGTCACTGTGTGTGTGTGTGTGTGTGCAGCTCTGCAGGGGGAGTGTGCACTGGTGTGCCCATTACAGCCTCACTGCAGGGGTTCCGTGTGTGGGTGTGCGTGTGTGAGTGTGTATGTGTGTGTGTCA